ATGTGTAGCATAAAACAGATTGTCATTAGTATCTGTTTATTAGTAATATTATATAAACTTTCAAATGAATAAATCACCAAAATACAAATGTGGGTTTAATTTTTCTTCCCTTATTGCTGATTTTGGCAGAAAAATGAATAACACAACTAATATAATAATGATTTAGAAATGTAGCTGGAGTTTAAACAGCAGTATGAGCTTAACAAGATTAATTATTCTTATTTCCATCCAGTTTTAGTGACTGTAGGCACCTTGCTTCATGCTTTGACTTTAAACAGCAGCAAACTTGACCTTGCATCATACGGCCTCAGTCATTTTTCAAATCTTCATTGCAGATTCCACCAAATTCCTTGAGTTTTCGTAAAAAAAAAAAAAAAACCACAAAGAAAAAGAACGCCTTAGATAATTAGTTTAAAAAAAAGAAGTCAGAGTCCACTTTACAGGTTTTCCCTTTTTATTTGAAGGATTTGACTACTTCAAGAGAACAAAGAGCAACTGTAGTGAGCATGTGAGAAAAAAAAGGTTAAAAGAGAAGCTAAACATCTTCACTACACTCAGCAGAAAATAGCAAACAGCTACAGATACCCCCAACATGTCAACTCTGATAAAAACTGTGACAGAAATTTGACTTCCGACGGTTTTTAAGGATTTTTCTCATTAAGCTTCGATTTGAGGAACAAAGAGGTGGTAAAACAGGAAACTCACCAAAAACAATCAGGACATAAAAGGCCCCAGAGAGTCACAGTCAGGTCTGGGTTGTTGTAAATGACCCTGTTGTAAAGGTCAAAGGTCACCTGACCTGCGGCAGAGCTGCTGAACCCTGAAACTGGGAGAGGTTTTTCTTAAAAAATCATCTTGATTTTGATTCAAACAAATCAGATTTTATGCTGAATAATAAATCAAATATATAAATGTATAAAACTAATGACTGGATTCAGTTTTATCTTTATTTGTTTCGTGTCAATTTTAAACATTAATTTTGAAAATGTGTTCTTTTCTGTGAACTCGTTAAATTGACCAATTGTCTCATTTTATGTTATTTGAGATGGACGTAGTGCGTGTTTTACATTTCTTTGTGCTTTTTCTTATTTAATTGTGATATGATGCCTAAATGTGATCAAATCTGAAATCTTTTGGTCTTTCGTTACTTTCACATTTGCCATTTAGACTTTTACCTTTTTTTTTATTTAACTCATTTTTCTCTACTTTGCGTCTCATTTTGACAAATGTTTTAAACTATTTTTGTCCCTTTTGATACGCTGTGCTTCATTATTGTGCTTGTTTATGATATTTTAATGGTTTTATTTATGTTTGTTACATTCTGATCATTGGGGTCAGATGTGGATTAATTTACAGTTATTTTTTGTCTCAGTTTGGATGGTTTGTTTTTCATGTCTTCATTCCTTTCGGTCCTTTAGTGATCCAGTCCTCTTTGCACATTTATGTAATTTTATGTATTTTATGTTTTATTTATTAATAATCTGTTTTGCTTTTTATTTCCCTCTAGTGTTTAAACACAAAATAAAAGACAAAAAAAAAAACTCACAAAAACTACTTTGACCGATAAACTCTGACCTCCTTCAACAAACTCCAAGTTCAGACCTGAATCTGAAACAACGAATCCTTCAGAGTCCGCTTCACCTCCCCGTCACCTGTTCCTTCTGTTCGTCTAAATGCTGCCGACCTTTGACCTTTCTGCTCCATTGCTTCACCACACGGGACCACGCTGCCTTTGACAGCTGCGTCAACCTCAGGCCAGGCAACTGGCGTGCCAAGCGGCGGACGGGGCGGCATTAATATCAGCCCCCTTGTAATGAGTCAGCAACACGCCTTTGTCATTGTCAGGACTCAGCAGCTCCTCTTTGCTTTCTGACGCGAGGCCCAAGTCATTTAGACGGCAGCAAGATTTTAAAATTCATTTTAAAGTGCTAATAAATCCTTGAATTTGAAGACTCAAAGCCTCGTGCCCTCCTGCAGGGAGGTTTCGGTGTGAAGATGGGGGGTTTGTGAGGAATCCCCCTGTTGGTCATTGGTTTGGCCTCAGCTGCTGGTTTATAAATACTGAAATAATTCCTCACAATCCAGCTGAAGAAACTGCTTTGCTGTGAGTTAGTCAAACCCCTACCTGCTGTCCTGTGGGACATTATCTCCTCGTGCCAAGAAAAGTGTGTCCAGAAGCAGTGGGACACCGGCAACATGGGTCTGACGGAGGGGAACAAAGTGATTAGCAAATGGGGGCCCCGGTATGTGAACACGGGTTAAAAATAACCTCAGTGGTCCGTTTTGCAATGGAGCATACAGCTCCACCCGCTGAGCCGCTGTGATGTCTTTCTCTGATATGTTAAAGAAATAATTCAAATGTATTTTGAAGTGGAAAGGTTATTAACAGTCAGTATCTTACCTGTTATTGATAGCTTTTTGAACAATCTCAGTTTGGAGAAACAAACCTTAATTCTGACTGAACTCATATTTGTCTTCAGTGGTGGGCACAGCTAATCAAAACGTTAGTTTCATCAACTCAGTATCTAAATATTAGTAGAAGTTAAGGCTCAACAAGTAAAAATAAGCAGAATCTAACCGCTAACCGCTACAATGAGTTCTGCTGTGTCTTTTTTGAGCTGAAGACTGGTGGGACTGACACAAACCTGTGGATGATAGTTTGTTAGTTAGCTGTTAGCGTACTTAGTGGAGGCTAATTGGTCCACTGTTGGTTTTCATCATTAGCAAAACAGCTAATCTGCTAAATAAAATCTCTCATTGTGTTCCACCATTAGCTGCTTTAGGCCCTGTCACACTAGAAAATTTATGCCAACTTATGAAACATTTTTATGTGTAAATTGCTAATAAAGGTTGTATGTATGGGGTTCCATTTGTAAAGTTACACAGTCAAAAATTACCACCAATATTTTTGTTTTATTTAGCCTTTTATAAGGAAAAAAAGAACAGATTTATTTTTCAAAGTCAGATTTTCACCATATGATTCATACATTTATAAATGTCATATTTTATAAACTAAATATTTAACTTACATATTAAATATTTAGTTAAGAAGCTAAATATTTAACTTGTGACTTAAATATTTAGTTTTGAGCTAAATATTTAACTTGCAACTTAAATATTTAGCTAGCTACCTAAATATTTAAGTTGTTAGCTAAATATTTAAGTTGCTACCTAAATATTTAAGTTGCTAGCTAAATATTTAAGTTGCAACCTAAATATTTAGGTACCTATCTAAATATTTAAGTTGCAAGCTAAACTTTTAGCTCAAAAGTAAATATTTTAGTCACAAGTTAAATAATTAGCTTATTAACTATATCTGTTCTTCTTTTCTTATAAAAGGCCAAATAAAACAAAAATATTGGTGGTAATTTTTGACTGTGTAACTTTACAAACGGCACCCCATATGTATATTTGATCAATTTGTTAGAATTACAATATGTACATGCCTAAAGGAAGCTTCCATTTGATTTTGTCAATTCCATCTTCAACATTGATGTCTTTAAAATTTTCTTAAGTTGGCAAAAATTGTCAAAACGTCATAGTGTGACAGGGCCTTTAGCAGAACCGTGCCCATCACTGTTTGTTTGAATACTGTTATATAAAATACAAGTGATTTATCAAATTTTTGAGATTAGATTTCTTTTAAGATAGCAGCAATTCACTTTGGCCCTGGGGAAGTCTTTCACTTGTCAATTCAATCAAAATGAAACTCTGTTTCTCCAAAAAGAGATTTTTGAAAGAGCTTTCTACAACAGGTAAGATATTATTTACTCCTACTGATCACCCCCCCGCCCAAAAAAAACAACAACCCAAAAACAACAGGAGTTAAAAGATGACAAGAGTGTAAGAGCTCTTTTTACTTGATGAAGGAGAGACAGATGATGAGCCGAGGGCGAGCACTAACAGTGATCAGCTGTCCCGAAAAGATCAACAACAGGACCCGAGATTCACATCTCTACCGTTCTGTCCGGTGTGAGTGGACAAGAATCTCCTCGACAACAGAACGATATCTGATATTCTGAGCACACAGCTATAAGCGGTGAGGCCTGGATGCATACCTGACATTAGTGGAAATGTTGCATTTGTGATGCACCCTGGCTCCCGGCCTCGGAAATCTTAAACAACTGTTGAATTTAAAGACAACATCCTGTGGGCCTGAGAGAGAGAGAGAGAGAGAGATAAAAAGAGACACGGCAGAGGCGTGCTATTTGTAGAGGACGAGTGGCTCGAAAATAGCACGAGCGTTAGGTTTCAATATAAGCCCCATCTCTCTGAGCTCCGGCTTTCTGTGAATGAGGCCCGGGTTCTTTTCGCAGCCAGACCCGGTGCTGATTTTAGATCACAGGTGTTGACCTTAGCGGAGCGGCTTGTGCTTGCTGCAGAGGAAAATGAACCCCTGAGCTCAGCCCTGTTTGCCTCTACAGCATCTGTGAATATTGTCTGAAAATACTGAGCTGTAAGTAAATACAAAGAGACAAATATTGGAACAAGAAGTGCTTTTTCTTTATTTACGTTTTTGTGGAAATGCTCATTCCAGAGAGCAGGGCCGGCCCTAGATAATTTGGCGCCCTGAGCAAGATTTCTGGTGGTGCCTCTTGTGCCATTTTCTAAACCTCACATACCAAACTAAATTGTTTTGTCTTTAATATTATTTTTTTATCTTTAGAAACTGGTTGTCAGGTTAAAATAGTTCACAATAAAATTAACTTGAAACAGAATGCCAGAAGTCGTACCTGCCAACATCTGATGACAGCAATGACAAGCACCTGTTAATGTTAATGAGCAGCTGTGGACTGAAGCAGTTCTAGGGGGGGTCCAGCATTATACTGAAGAAATTTATAGATATTAGAGGTTAGTACAGATGTTAAAAGCACCACAATATATTTTTAGGTTTTCCTTTTTATAATGTTGACAATGTTTAATCTATTATGTTTCGATTGATATAGATTAGTTACATGTCCGAATTATAAACAACACATAATGAAAAGATTATAATAACATTAGATGAGACTTTTGTTTGAACGCCTGTGATTCAGCCATAGGTCAGTTGGGGGCGATCACAGGCATTGAAGAATCATGTATAAATTGAGGTACTTCCTGGCTTTTCGGCAGTGTGTGGTTTCCTGTCAGATCCGAATGGCAATAAACCCCACTCCAGAATTCTGGTTTTGTATGGTTTTATCTCGTCTAACAATCATATTATTTAACATTGGTGGTTTTCTAATGATTTTAGTCTTTGAATGCGAATATTTCTTACAATACTTCTCTGGAAAATTTAGCAAAACATCTAAAACTACGCATTTTCCAGCCATTTGATTAATAAAACAACATAAAATCAGTGTTTTATGAAGGTATGACACTGAAACCAGACATTAACCCGACTTTTGTCTGAGATCATAAATTAAACTTCCATTATTCTTATTTTGCTTTTTATTTACAAACTGAGTGCCAGTAGTTAGCCTTGACAGCATCGTATGATACTTTTATCACAAAACATCCTCTGCATCATATGTGTTCATAACCTGAGTAACCAGTGATTATTCTACAGATTAAATCAACTTTATTCTGATAAAAATTTAGAAAATATACATTTTTGTCGTCCCTCATTTGTGGCGCCCCCTATGGACGGTGCCCTTAGCACTTGCCTACACTATGTTACCCTGTTAGAGAGCTTTTGTTGAATAATATTGTAGACATTTTAGTGGCAGGATGGTCACCTTGTGGAGAGTTTATTACCTCTTGAGATCACCCACACTCCTCTAACACCTGCTTTCTTTCTTTTTTTTTTTCATTTGGATGCAGTGAAGCTAAAAAAATAAAAAACCAAGGAAGTAAAAAAGTAGGTTGAAACTCAACCTTGTGTTCAGCTGTGACTCCAGGCCTGCTGCTTTAATCGTCCACCTAAAACCCAGTAAAACACACCCACCTCGCAGTTGCTTCCTTGTTTCTCCTTTTTTTTTTTTCCAATCCAAAAAGAAGCCATTGACATCCGCTGCATAAACCCGAAGCAGGGCGGGGTGGGGTGCAGAGGAACGGCGTATCGAGGATGGGGGTGTAGGGTGTCCTCGAGCCCAGTGTGAACAGCTGAGAGGGGTGATTTCACAGGCTGGCTCCCCCTCCTGTCAGGGCCCTGATTGGGCCGGACAGGAGGCGCAGGAGAGGCCCGGGGCTTCTAAAGGACACCAACAGGTGGGAGGCCCGCTTCAGAGGGGGGGCCCCCCACTCCTGGTGGGGCTAGAAAAGGCCAGTCTGCATGGCCGGTTGTGGTCACAAGCCACCGGCCAGCTCCTGAGGAGAGTTGATCCTTGAAGTGGAGAGAGTGTGTTTAAGTTAGCTTTCTTTAAAGCGTAGCTTTAGATGAGTTCAGTGGATAGAAGGCAAAGGTCAAGGACAAGGGCTCAGGTTGGTCTGAACTTTTTGTTTTGTCGTGTAATTTACTTTTTTTGTCACGTTTTTATACTTAACTGTATGCCGTGTTTTGTTTTGTTTTTATCTAAAGGACAATGTAACTGTCTTTAAAGTTGAATGATTTCTCTCAGTTTTCGCTTGTCTAATCTGAACAAGTGTGACTAAAATCAGGCGAACTGTTGGTTGTTTTCGCTCTGATTTATTAAAGCAACAACCCAACGTGACAAAGCCTGATGCCTCCACCAGCTGAGGGGAAAACCAAGGAAAACAACAAATCAGGAAGTTTCTCGCACCTTATTAGAGTTTAGAGTTTCTCTCAACCCAGGCTTTGGAAAAATACAAAAAAAAAAGGCAGATTAAAAGCCGACTACAGCAGGTAAAACAATTTTAAGAAACAAACACATGACCGTTCCTGCGTTTGAAAGGGATTTTTACTTTTGCTTTTGAAAAGTTGAAGAAACGTGACAATCGGAGTCTCTCATGAGATTAAAACACAACCCATTAATAAGCTGAATGATCAACGATTTCACTCAAAAAAAAAACAGTTGGGTTGGATTTACGCAGTTAAGTAAATCCAACACATCTGCTTTTTGAGTGCAGGATCTTAACTGTCTATTTTTGTTCAATTAAAAGTTTTTTTTGTGTTTAAACAAGGAAAGAAAAATCCACCCAAAACTAAAAAGGCTTGTCTGAATCAAACGTAACACATTTCAACTTCCCAGAAGTCTTTGTCACGTCTTCCTCCTCTCCACTCTGTCACAGTTAACTGTTTTATTTAACCAGTTGTTCCTGCTACTCTTCGCCCGTGGCCATGAAAGGGTGCTTTGTGTCCGGATCCAGTTGTTGCCCTCTGCGAGGACATGCTTCCTTATATCCCCATATTAATACAGCACTTATGGAATGTAAGGAAGTGTGTGGTTTCAGGGGGGCACGAGCGTCAACACGTGGAGGAAATGAGACTTTTTTTTCTGATTAATTCTCTCTCTTTTTTTAAATAAGGCTTAAATGTCAAATGTTTATTGCCTGTTTTGTGGGAGGGGTTGTCGGAGTTTATGTGTGTGTCTGTGTGTGTCAGGACAACAGGTGAAAGGCCTCTCCTTCACTTCAAGCACGTGTACAGTTAGCAGTGGGTCGCTGATAGGTCTCAGGGACTTCTTGACAAAATTCCTTTCCTATCCCAACTGCTGACAGTCATGGGGTAGTGTGTGTGTGTGTGTGTGTGTGTGTGTGTGTGTGTGTGTGTGTGTGTGTGGATTGACAGAACACAGCTGTCACCCATTATAGCAACCGCAGAACTCAAAAAAAGGAAGAGGGGGAAAGAGGAGGTGGAGTTGGGTGGTATAAGAGATGGGGAGCTGTCACTGGGGGTTGAAGGTTTTGCTTCTGGAGGCTGGGTTTGGAAGGAACCTCAAAATAGGAATCTGCTTGGTAACACTGTGACACGTTCTGATTATTTTCCTCTCTTTGTGTCTCATCAGGTCAGCCCTGACGGCGAATCAACAGACTGCCAGCACACGAGCCCTGGTTTCCATTTCCTCCCTTTCCTTTCCCCTCCTGTTCTTTTTGCATGCTCGCTCTTCTCTCGCTCTCCTCCTCCTCCTCTCTTGCTCTGCCTCTTGCAGCCGAAGCGACACACCTTGCTGTGGCTGGTCAAACGGAACCAAGTCAGGTGTTTCAGTGAGGTTTGGTCCCCTTCAACCAGCTACTGCGTCGTGAACTCTTTCAGCGTGGAATCACCCGTGATGCAGTGCTGCTCGCTCTTGGATGTGGTGATTCCCTAAGAGTTACGTGTGGACTCTCATGTCCTCACTTGTTTGGTTGATCTTAAAGTTGTTTGTGTTTGAATAAATAAATGAAAGTTTTTTGATGATGCACTGTATTGATTTCTGTATTTTTCTGAGCAACCAAAGAAGCAAATAGTATTCACAATAAAGACCATAATATAAACATTATCACAGTTGTTTCAAATTATATTTGTACACCATAATTTCCCTCTGGGATCAATAAAGTATTTTCAATTGAATTTAATTGAATTGAAAAAAAGAATCAGTTCAAATCTTTTAAGTGGGGTTCTGTGAAAGATTTTTTAACAATAAATATCTTACCTGTTGTAGATAGCATTTCAAATGAATTTATTTAAGAGAAAAAGAGGTTATTTCTGACTAAGTCAAGAAACATAAAATAAACTTTATTCTTGCATCAGATCACCTTACAAGATAACTTACATAGAATTACATATTATTGGTTATTTGTGAGCACAAATAATAGCAGCATTAACGTCATTATAACATTTGAAAGTAGCAGTAAAATCCAGTTTTAAATTTAAATATATTGATGATAACAGTGCGCTAAAAG